ATCCATCGAAAGGAGACTGCGACCACACCAGAGGCCACAACATCTTGGTCTTCATATATTCAATTAAACTGGCTTATTTCACATTCAAGAGGTGGTTGTGGAGTATGGCGATAGAGCAAATTCAGCATTGTTCTTACAAATAACCAGCTTCAAATCAAGCGTGTAAAAGCTTCACTGCGGCTGAAATCCCTATCGAAAGTGTCGAACTCTTTGATAATTCAATGACTCCAGGATTTGCCGTAATGATGGGCGGTTTTAAGTAGTACCTTTTTTGGACTTTAGCAACAAGTAAGTAATGCCTTATCTATACAATCATACCATCAGTCGATCTTGACAATAAAATTAGGTATACTGAACTGTATAAGATGATTGAATTTCCCTCATTAGGCTGAGTAATATTCCGCCCGCCAAAAGATTTCCCCATTCGCGTCGAAACAGCAAGTCAAACGTTATTTTCTATTCCACCTGTATACCGGGATTGTACCAAATCAATGGCGATCGATTGCCTCGGCAAGAGTGTATTAACAAGAAGGTTCCAGTGGGAATTTGCCGCCGTCTTCTGGTGTGATTGACTTTGCAATATCTTGCCGGGACAATTGCACTCGAAAGGGAAGTGAAGACAACAATTGTCAGCAAAGAGATTGCCTGCATTTCACATACCACTATTCCTGGGCTGTGGTAGCCTTTCGACTCGACCGTATGATGCAGGGGGTATCGGAGGACCTACTTCAGCCGCTATGCATTATTAGTGAACAAGACATGTTGCTTGTATTGCAGTAATACTATAAGTAGTATGTTTTATTTTCAAGTTGACAAATAAATCAATAATATTTCGGTGCTGCTTTGCTGTTGTGTGAAGTGAATGAGTGGCATTTTTTCTTTTTGTCTACACTCCATTGGGCCTTAGCATAAATGAGGACTTGTAATTGGTATGTGAATGGCTGTGGATAATATTGCCATGCGAGGAGATGCCGACGACGAGGGTGACAATGCGAGACCTGAAGCAGTCATTGGTTGACGCGGTTCCGTCGAGGGTGGTTGCGTTGGCGCGAGCCGGCCGTCTCGGCGACACGGCAGGCCAGGACTCGTCGAAACCGGCCAGCCAGACGAATTGTAGCGCCATTTCTCGCGGTTGTCGCGCCATTTGGCGTGACCGCAACTATCCGTTCTATCGCGACCACTCGGGCCTTCCGACTGACAGCCAGTCGGTGGTCTGGCGACGACCCATTCAGAGCGTCCACATACCGGCCTGCCTGGACGAGGTGATCTCGTCTCTGTCGGGCCACGACGCCGGCGAGGCTCGCACCGGCCTCGCCGGCCTGCTCAGCTTCCTGACGCACGGCGACGAGACGCAGATCCTGCGCGCCTTCGACACGGTCGGATTCGCCGCACTTCGGCGCCACTTTGCCCGACCGCTGGTGCTGACCGCCGACTGGAACGGTCTGCTCGCGGGACTCGCCGTCGTCTGCGCTCTCGTCGAGCAGACGTCGGCCGTTCGAGCCGGTCTGCTCGCCTGTCTGCCGCGTCTCTTGCGGCCGATGCAGCGTCAGTTCAGCGTCTACCGGACTCGTCGATTCGTGCCCAGTCGGGCAGCCTACGAGACCGAGTTGTGTGCGTCGACGGACCGACGCCAATCCGACGAGGCTGGAGTGCGCCTCTTCCGCGACTACAACTGGCCACGACGACAGACGCAGTCGAGACGGCCGCTGCAGAAGATGACCGGCCATCGCCTGACTCGACACTGTCAAGACGACGAAATCACCAGCCTCGAGCAGTGGCTGCAGCACGTCGAGTCGGTGATTGTGACCAAAAGTGGCGCCGACAGCCGCGAGCACCGGCGCTATCTGACCCTGCTGCGGAGACATGTGCCCAGCTACTCTCGTCTCTTCTTCACACGTCCACCGGCAGGTCCAGCTCTTTCGGCCTGTCCGGACGGCGTGGCAACTGTGCTCAAACCGGTTGCCAGCCCGGTTGTCAGGTCGTGGAAGGGGGAAATGTGGTGTCGACAAGAGGACGACTCGAGCATTCGCTCGTCGGTCGTCTCGGTTCAGCTTCATCCTGAATCCCCGCGACGCAAAGAATCTTCACCTGACGACGCAGTTGACGTCGCGAGTC